TCTTGGGACAAGACAATCACCACTGGTGGAGGCTCGTGTGGTCGCTCTGGGGTAGCTCTGATGTCTGGTGGCTAATTCAGAGAACAGTAGTGACGCATCATTATTTAGACATTTAAAAAACTATTTAAGAATACTAAAATTCATACAAATTTACAAAGGTGGAAAGGTTCTATTTTCTTAAAATGCGACAGTGATCCCATCCCATTGGTTTCTTGTCCATGAGTTTAATTTCCTTTCCTAGCATGTACTATACTGTAAATGTAAGGAACATCAGCCTATATATCAACATTAGGTTTGTTTTACTCACTAAAAATCCCTTTTTGCACCAAAACTCCAGCTTTGGTCGGGCTATACTGTGTAAGAAAAGAAGCAAGCGCCACGTTGATAAATAACAGTCGGCAATTAATTGATTTTCATAAATAATTCAACTCAGTGGATTGGTTTGCACCCACCGACCACCTGTTCGCTATTTAGTTCTGCGGCTTATGTTTCCTGAATCATTATAACCTAACACCAAATCCATATTGTGTTTCTTTAAGAGCGTCTACAGTCAACTTTTAAAATTTAAAAGCCAATATTTTCCTATAATTTCTGCAAAGATGCTTTTTTTAGAAGTTATTATAATACAGTATTGCAAAAAAAAAGTTTTAAATTATGTTCTCATGTGAAATAACGTAAATATGCTGCAAAACCACGAATGGAATACTCTCTGCCTGCAAGCCGGGGCTATATGAGGCTGTGATCTTAACTGCAGGACCTCAACAGAATTACATTATATTTCTCGCAAGTTAAAAAAAGTACAAATGTAAGGTTATAACTAGGGCACTCATGGACAGTTTTCTGCATGTCCTTGCCATGCCTTTGCTTGCTCGCTGGGTGTTAACAACCAATGTTATACTGTTAGATTTTTGACAGCTGGAGGTAAAATGCAGGACTGAGTTCACAGCAGATGTGTGTGTGTGTGGTAACATATGAGCGCAACCAACATAGCTCAATGTCAACCGAGCAACCGCCAAGAAAGCTAGTCAGTATTTTTCACATCAGCATACTAAAATGCTGAATACCGCTGAGGATATTTCATTTACTGTAGAATCAAATAGTGCTCAGCATGTAGTCAGCTTTAATTTACGAGATTAAACACACAACCACCCCCGATACAACTGTAGTAGCGCTCGATGAGGTTAACCTTATCATGTTGACAGACGCTGCATCGCTTTAGCTTGGAGGAGGGACCACACACTTGTCACTGAGAAAACACAGCTGTTCTTCAATTTATGTCTTCACACAGTTGGGAAGTAATTATAGGATATTATAATAGCTGTTAACTTCATATTTCCAGTGTGAAGTTTGCTGACAGCTGTTGCTTACAGTGAATGAGTTTAATCTGCATACAGTTCCTCTTTTTAAGTTGAACTGAAAGAAACATGTTAGATTAATGACTTAAAAAATACTGGCCCTCTAACGACAACCTCAGTGTAATACAGATCAGCTTACTGGTAATAACTGCAGTGTAAGTAATTACCAATATCCACTTAAGGATGTCGCATTTCCAGGAAACAGTACCACTGAAATTCTACGAACACAAAGAAAACTACTTGTTAGAAGCTAAGTTAAGGATAGGCACCAAAATTCCTTGGTTAGGTTTGGGAAAACTCCAAGGGTATGGTTAAAATACGGCCTTTTCCCAACATGTTTTAGACTTCTCCATTTTCTGGATTACAAGGTTATAAGTCTCGCCCCATCTAATATATTATCAGGTGGCTGATAAGAAGCGGCAGCAAAGCAATGAAATAAACGGCAAAGATATGCTGATTCAAAATGTGTTAGTGATACGTCACGAACATAATTGGGCAGAAAATAGGTTTACCTCAAAATGTAATTGAGAGTGCAGTTTAGTTGTATGGGAACATACTTTTTTTGGGAAACAGCCTGGAACATAAGCTGTGGTGGTGATTAGGAGGTACAGGAAGAGCTATACTACCAATAACAGAAGGTGCAGCAGCTGTCCTTGAAAAATGATTCCACACACAGATTCTCTATTTTATGCAATCGTGCATTGAAAAACACACACATAAGTGCATATGACTTGGCACAGGGAATATTTGTGGAAACTGGCGCTTCAGTGAGACGGTACGAGTGACATTGCGTGCAGTCGGCCTCTACGGACGATGTCCAAGAAGGAAACTATTGCTCACAATAGGCAGAAAACTTCAAGATTAAATTTTGCCAAAAATCATGTAAATAAGTCTGATGAATGTTGGCAGCACATTCTTTGGTCAAATGAAACCAAAACAAATTTGTTTGGATCCGACGGGATCCAGCATGTTTGGGGTGGACCTGGCCAGGACTACCACAGTGACTGGATGGTGCCGACCATGAAACACTCAGTTGGGAGGGTGACGATACGGGAAAGCAAGAGGTGCAGGGGAGATGACATTTATAGAAATGAATAAAAAGATGACTCCCTGCCTCAAGAGGTGTGATCCCAGACACACTGCAACAAGCATGCAAGAGGTTTCAGAAAGGACAAAAAAACAAACCATCACCTGGTCTCTAACTCGAATCCAATAGAAATCCTTTGGAGTACTTTAAAGTGCAAGGTAGAGCAACGAAACTCTGCTGAAAAATATTATCTGTCATTGTTTTGGTTTTCCAGCCCACTTTTTCACTTCTTCGGTTCACCCTCAGTGCCCTCATCAGCATTGTTTTCAGACAGCCCGAGTAGCTGTTTTCAGTGAAATGCACTGTACACTGTCTTTTCAGCATCAAACAGCAGACAGACAGTCAGCGGCTGGCTACAACAGAGAACGGAGCAGAGCATTCAGCAGCTAAAGAGCCATATATCTCCACTAAGACTTATTGGAGGCCAATAGCAGAGGGGAGGGTGAATATTCATCAAATCGCCTGCAACATGACGTCAAGTTAATGTTGCCGTGTATGTGCTGGCTGGGTTTGCTAACAAGTTCGCCATATTACTGAAAATGTCAGTGGTGACTTTCTAGCTTGTTTTGGTTCCCTCATGTGGCCCCAAAAATCTGTTCAATGCTTGCAGTGTACTTGGCTATGAGTCAGTGTCGCTTCATTTGCATGCGGCTGCTAGTTTTCTCGTTTGAAATGGCATAAGCATTCAAAGCATTCAGTCAGTAAAACTCCAAAATCTATGGAAATAGAGTTTAGATTCTCATTCCGGGGCGACGGATGTGAGCTGCATTGAGCCATAAGACAAACTATACATTTTCCTTTACTTTCCATGATCCGAAAAACACGTATTACAGCCTATTACGAGAAAGTCATAATCTGCAGCCTCCCATGTCCAGATCAGTGTGATACCTCAGGCGTGTTGATAATGGAATTTTCTGCTCAGGTAAACTGGTTTAGTTATAGGATGTCAAAAAATAAGCTCTTGTCACTGCGCTCCATTTTCTGGAGCGAGCCTCTACATCACTGTACCGTTATAACAGATGCTGTCTGTAACACTCCCCCACCAACTCTTCACAGCTCTCCCCTCTGCCAGCTCTGACGGAGCAGGTCGTCCGCTGATTGGTCGGGTTCCTCGAGGACTTCACTCTATTAGCTACAGCAACGAAGGGTCTTGGACTGGGGATGTGTCTCGAATGGATACGGCGGTTGACGAAGGTTTATGTTGGATCTCGGTAGGGGGAATCCGGACCAGCCGAGGACACCGTGGCACGTGTTCAACAATCCCCTGTGGTGTTCGCAGCTCGACTGTAAAACACTGCGTTTAACAGCTGACACTTTGACGCCACAATGCGCCACGTTATCGGGCTTTGAAGAGTTCTTGCATTAGAGCACCTAATAAATCACAGCGAGCGTTCCGATGAGAGCGTGTGACATTGACTCCCATGCGAGATGAAAACGAGACTATGGCACACTAGGTGCCGCATACCACTGGGATTTACAGGTCACAATGCTCGCCCACTGGAAATCTCCAATGCTTTCGATACTGTGCTGGGCCACCCCATCCAGGGAATATTAAAACATAATTCTTGCTTCCAGTCTAAACACATGAAACAAGTCATAGACAATAGTCCCAGCAAAACAAACATGAATACAAGATATTGAACCTTACACTGTGTTGCATCGTATTCCAAACAATCCTCTGGTTTGCAGCATGAGGGCGAGAAAACAGAAAGTCTTAATTAATTCAGTGTAGGTGGAAGAAATCACTGATGGACATGCAAAGCTAAAAAGACTCCTGCCGTATATGAGACATCAAAAATGCATCGAGAATGAATTAGATTGTGCGAAAACATAATTAGTATCGAACAAAACAAATACCTCATTTACTGTTGAGGGATTTCAAAAGCCATATGGCGAAGAAGGCTGCTTTTCAAATTATGTACCCATCAACTAAATAACCTATTATTAGCCAGACAGAAAAACACGAAGACATTTGATTTGGCGTGTTTTAAACATTATGAGTGATGCTGCAATTCCACTAAATAAAATTAATAATGTCGGTGCCTTCTGTTCATTTATACACAAATAGTCGTACACGCCATCATCACTGAAATACAATTTATAAGGATTCACTTTGAATAGGGTTAGAGGGGAGAAAGGAAGGGTACCGTGGTTGCAAAGGTAATCCATGATGAGAACTGTCTCTCAGCTGAATTGGACTGTCAGCCCTACGTTAACCTTTACCCTGATGCTGCATTTTACGTTTCAAGGTTGTTTGAGATGGAAATCCACGTATCAAGATCCTATCGAACAAACATACAGATAATCTGACAGAAAATAAAGGTGTGCTTTAGAGCAACAATTGATATGGTCAGCTTCACAAAATCTATCCATCTCCTTTCATCCCATTCTTTTCTGTTTGCTAAGTACACAGAGATGAGAAGGGCAGCGAACGCAGTGCATCACACCTTCCACTGCCCTCTTGGGTTAAAGCTGTTGATTCGTTAACAAACACAAATCGATAGAGGGGGGCCTGAATGGAGGACAAGTACAAAGAATTAATTTCCGGCTCCAGGGGCTTACGATGGCAAATCACCAGCTTTAATCAACAGTGTCAAGTCAGAAAGACAAATGATGTTTACACTGAGGCAGTGTCTCGTCTGAAAACAGCAGCATCGGCTTTGTCTCCTTACCAGTCTGTCTAGGCTTGTGCCAGCTGCAGTGGTAGGCCGCTCCTCTGGGCTGTAGGGCCTGAAGCGGGCGTTGAACACATCCGCAACACCACGAGCAGACCTAGTGATTCCTGCGGGTTTTGGCTGGCCACAGCCTTGAAAAACCTGCAATTACAAAAACATGGGCACCCAACTGTCAGCGGTTTAAATTACTCAGGACGCTGAAAATAGGGGGGAAAACATGCTGTTTTGTTAAGGTCTTGTGAAGCCTTCACCCCTCACAACCGGTGTGACATTGCGCTGCGTCAAGTTGAGGTAACCACGTTCATAGGTGATTCAACTAGGAGCCGTGACCGATGCTATTTAAGATGGCAGAGTTAAGTTTTTATGGGTTTTGGGGAAAACACCACATATACTTAAACCATAAACAAAACTGCATCTGTTGCATGGGAAAGCCAACTGAGCATTTAGCTTTGAATGGGAACTGGCATCCGAATCCGTGTAGGAAGAAAAATATTCTTCACAACCACCTACCCTTTTTTTTTTTCTTTTCCTTTCTTTCTGACTACAATTTTGTGGGCAAAGAAAAATGCAGTAAAACACAGGAAACACATTAACTACTGTTAGTTGAACTAAGATTATCTGACCAAATTCAAACATATAATTCAAATACAAGACCTAAACTTGGACATAATTAGAACGTGTTGCGCTGCACACCTTCGACACAGCCCAGCGTGACTTCCAGCAAAGCTCCTTCGTTGGTTTGTGAAAAAAATAAATAAAAGTTGGACTTCAGGAGTCTGTCTGAGGTGTTAGGTTTGTTCTTTGGGAAATACAATCTAATTGACATACCCTGTAGGAGACCTGGGCACTGTTATCTTGCATATTCATGATGGCCTCTGAAATCTTGACATCAATGGGCTCCATGACAGATTCAATGTTGAACGGTCCCTCCAGCCTCTGTGCCACCAGCAGCATGGCATCTGTCACAACAGTGGTGGAAAAGGTGTGGAGGGAAGAGAGCAGAGGTGGGAATAGACACATTTAGTCCAAGAAACATTTATTATTTCAGTAGCAAAGCGAATAAGCTTTCAATGCAGCAATTAAAAACAAACCCAAACTAATCTGCTTGGGGAACGACTGCATTAAAATGTGACTGTCCATCTCTATTTGCAATCAGAAGTATTTTCACATGTTCAGTGATGGTGATCTGGATGAAAACACAGACGAAATATATACCTAAGGTTGACAACAAAGCTAGAAATTCAATGTAAAATGAAAAAGAAAAAAAAAACACAATCATGAAAAGCAAGTCGAACAAGATTCCCCTCATGTCCTTGAAAAAATATTCTATTGTGATGCAGCTCAGTGGAGTCTTTTTGCATTTAGCGTTTCTGTATTTCTGTATTTAAAGTGCTTTAGAGAATGCAGTGCATAGGTTATCATGCTAATATAGTTCCTTTTTTTGTTTCTGTCTTCTCAATTTGCTTGTGTTTTTCAAAACTGCCAGCTTGCACAAAGAGTTAAAAAAAAAAAAAGAAAAAGAAAAAAACCTTGAACGATTGATTCCACAGTGTTCTAATTCCCATATTGCGGATTTCTACTTATTTCAGTTTCTTCCAGTGCTGAAACATTATGCCTACCTAACTGGTACTGAAACAATCATCCATCCATCCATCCATCATCTATACACCACTTCATCCTCACTAGGGTCACAGGGGGGATGGAGTCTATCCCAGCTGACTTAGGGTGAAGGTAGGGGACACCCTGGACAGGTCACCAGTCTATCACAGGGCTACACTTAGAGACAGACAACCAAGCACACTCACATTCACACCTACAGACAATTTAGAATCATCAATTAACCTCAACATGTTTTTGGACTTGTGGGAGGAAGCTGGAGAACCCGGAGAGAACCCACATTGCACGGGGAGAACATACACGCAGAAAGATCCCACGAACCAGCGACCTTCTAGCTGCGAGGCACCGGTGCTACCCATTGCTCCACCTTGTAGCCTGAAACAATCAACTGATTGAAAAAAAAAAAACCAACCACACCAAATTTTTGAAGTGCTGCTTTCTGCAAAACTGCAAATTTGGGTCAATTTTCTTAAGTGTGATGATTTATTAGTTTTCTCAGTTTTCTATTTTTTACTGTTGAGTTGAATAAAATTAACAATTTGCAGCGGTCGCTCTGAACTCTGAGGGGTGTAATTTGATTTTTTTCCCCTAATATTCTCACCAATCAATTAAAAAAATATTACTAAGAAACAACTAGCGGTTTGTTATATAACTCTCTTCCCAGAGGTCACGCTTTCAAACAGCAAACTATTGCATCTTCCCTTCTGATTACTTCACAGTGTTGTCACTTACTGCCCCCCTTCTCATCACAGTCCACAAACACGCTAATGAAGCACGAATGCTTCTTGAGGCGAATTCAATTTTTATGGAGATCACCTCAATCAAGTCGACAAAATTTTGTTATGCTGCGCGCAGTGATTCGTGCTGATGACTCATTGATTTAATATAACTTTTGAAAGCCAAGCACTTATTTACATCCGCTGTGAGAAAGGTCAACGGCTCATTAATATTGTGTGGATGCAAGCCAGAAGGCCTCGTTGAACACACTTGTCATTATCAAACTCTTCAAACACTTGTTTTCATCACCTCTGATAGCGCTTTAAAAGAGAAAAAAAGATGTTACATTCAAAGCATTTATTATGTACAACTGCTCATGGTGCAAATTTCACAGCCGCTCAAACTAATTAGGGAACTGCTGTTGTCCTTAGAGACTAAGTGAGTAAATTGATATTGCCACGAAACAGTGCTAAAGTGTTTCAACCCCACAGGCTTTTTATATTAATGTGCTACGGTCTCTGTAATGGCAGGTCTGAGTTTGAACGGCACGCCGTAGGGAACCGGACATCACCAAACCACTAAGTCATAATTGAGCAAGTCCCAGATCTGGAGACAGGACTCGAGTCTGTCAGGACAGGTTTCTCCATCCACAGACCTCCCAAGACAAGACCTCACTCACCAGCAGGCTTTCGTAATGACTCTACAATTACCTCGTAACTAAATAAGGTCATCCTGTCATTTGGAGAAAACAGAAACAATGACCTCTTACGTGGTCCTGACTCCCTTAAGAGCGGAACTTAATCTGCACCAAAATGCGAAAAGGCAGTTTTTTTCCAATGACATGTTATATATTTCTTTTGGCTTGCTGCTCCAACCATCCCACCCATCACAGGAGAATGATATAATTTATTCCCAAGCTGTGAAGGAGTAGATAATATTCCAGAGAACAGACCAAAAAAAAAATGGTGACTGAAAATATGAAAACACAAACAGGAAAAAAAAAAAGGGGAGCTAAAGAAATGAGGGAAACTAGGGCACAAATATTGTCCACGAAACAAACAACCGAACTAAAAAGATCTAAATTACACTTTAGCTCTTTGAGGGAAGACCTGTCCAGCTATTCATTCTTCTGGGACCTCAGATCACTAATAGCAGAGAGAGAGAAAAAAAAAAAGCTGAGAAACATTAGCTCAGCTCTGGCTCCATTTCCTTTCCAATTATGTTGAAGCCGAAGCCTTTGAAGAGCTCTTCTGTTTGTTTACACTGTGAATTGCAAATAGCCCGTGATGTTCACTGAGATCTTAATTTACAGATTATGTCAGTGCCAAATGGCTTTCTACAGTAGTGCTTCAATTGCATCACTGTGCCACCATATGGTCTATAAGTGTAGATAACACTTGCACTGGCAGAAAAAACTCAAGTGAAAAAAAGGAAGACTGCTACTACTTGCCTATTAGCAATGATACCAATCAGTTTTCCTAATTGATTTTTTGACACCACACTGCAGTTTACTTTAAACGCTTCCTGTCAGTGTTCTTGTGTTTCTTAAAAAAAAATAAAATAAAAAAAGCAGAATTTGGCATTGCCATACAGCCGCTAATTTAATCTGATTATGATGTAAATTCATTCATCTGCCTCAGGTGTGTCTGCTCACAAAACAAACACACGTGAAAGAATATCTAAATTCAAGCACACAAGCTTTAAAAAACTGTCAAGTGCAAATACTTAAAATTTAGGTCAGCGCAGCCAACTGGGAACAACTCATATTTCACAATAAGAGAAAAACAGAATGCCTCCAGCATCAGAGATGATGGCAATCTTTCCAAACAATGGTGACTTATCTGCAACTTATCAGATGGGCTCAACAAACAGAGAGATCTGGGAACTTTGTCTTCACATAGCTGAGGGAAAGCAGACAGAAGCAGGGGAGAGACGAGCGGAGACAGAGGAAGAGGAGAGCAGGAGAATAAGAAGTGGCGCTGATTGGGTTGAGTGAGGCCAGGGTATGGCTTCGTCCCACAGGAAGAGGGACTCCTGCACCGCATGTGAAAAACTCTACCTACATGGAGAATTAATGACTCTCATTTATGAGGAGCGCGTGAAGTCCGGTCCGCTGTGGCACGGCTGCCACTTTGAGCCAAATTTTCCCTGCATCACTTTTGCAGCGTTGAGATAGGCCACTGGCCAGCCAGAGGAAATCTTGTTATCATCACAGCCATGCAAATAGATGCATCTTGTCGAGGTTTTCAAAAGCAACGCTGACTTGCTGGACTGAGACGCAGGGAAAAGCTAAAAGATGTCACGCTGTGAAATCACAACATGAACCAAATATTTTGTTTGCTATTAGAGGTTTCAGTTTGGGGTTTGGAAACATGCTTACTTGCTCCGTCTGGCTAAACGGCTAAAAAAAATTGAGGAGGTAATATTACTCCGGGCTCTGCCTCTTTATCGAGATTGATGTCCACTTAAATTCAGGCTATGTCAGCCAGCGGCAACCTCCAGCAGACAAGGACAAATAAGGAGAGTGAACAGGCCCATCTATGGCTCTTTGCCTGTGAAGAGTTCCCCAGGATGAAAAATGGCTCCAGTGTAATTTGGATTCTGTAAAGCATAGCTCATCTGTGGTTCAGTCAACCAACTAATAGTGCTATGAAACGGTATAAAAATGGAAAGGAAGGAAAAATGCATGTTGTCGCCTGGTCACAATTTGCATCAAGTCAAAGATCTTGAACATCCACAAAGACATCGTGTGTTAAAGAAAACAAAGATGGCACACTCAAACAATAGGAAGTAATTACTCCGATCAAACTTTTTTCAAAATGATAATTCATTTTTTTCTTGCACTGAACGAAGCTATGCAGTCACAGCGGTGCTAACTGTATGTATTACCGTGAGAATCTAGCCATGCACTTAGCTGGTGATGCAGAAAATGCACTAATATGTTTTCATGCTTCGTTTTGCACTGCCGGTGTTGCAGCTAATACAACACAGATTAGAAAACTGTTCATTGATATTTATCACAGAGAAAATTCAATCAATAGCATTAATTTCACTTTAATGTCCCCAAAAACTAAAGTGATTTTCATGTATCTTTCATTTCATTATCTTCCTGAGTATCATATTTAAATTAATGAAATTTACATTGTAGGAGCTTTAATGTGCAGCTCTCACGTTACACATAATGGGTTGCACTGACAAAGCAGTAAGTTGCAAAATTAAATGTATTAACTTACAAGTTTAACAGTTTTCTACCAGTATTCCTCTCTTGCATCATCTACAGTAACAGCGCTCTAACCACAGTCATCTTTTATATTCCTGATTGCTCCTTATTATAACAACTTGTTCCTCTTAAGTGAAGTAGAAAACTAAAAGAGAACATGCCAAACGCCTCATTCTATAGGAGTAAAACCTGCAATAACACAGACAGTTAACCACCATAGTGATACCCATTATCTCCAAATTAGGGTTTAGGATTTGTCAAGCCAGCTAACACTTTGAAAGTCTGACTTTGTCTAACTTGTTCTACAGCACACCCCCTCCTGTCTGGGGGTTTAATACCGAGTGAAAAATCCAAAAAATTGTTTGTGGGTTTGCTGTTCCGTGCAAATATCAAGGGTTCCCCAAG